AGGTTTTTTATCAGTAATTAAACTACAAACATGAATATTGACTTGTGAAGTAGTATTCAATACAAATTTATTATTAATATCACTTGTAATTGACTCACATTATTCATTTATCCATTAGCAATAAGTATTATTTGTTATAATGCTTAAGCAGGATAAATAGCTGAGATTTTTTTCACATTTTTATGAACTTTATTATTCAAAAGGCTTGCATTAATTATTTGAAGAATTACTATCATTATTTACATTTATATCCCAATAACATTATGATATAGTTTATTATAAACATGCATTTTGATTAATGTAATCAAGACAATTATTAGTATTTTAGATTTCAATGAATGATTAACATTAATAATGAATAAAAGCACACATTTATCCATATCTTTATACTTAAATACATGCTTTTTAATTACCATGCATTTAAGTAATATATTCACATGAATCTGAAATATTATTATTTTTAAATTAACATTCATTTTAATTCCAATAACATGGTATTTTAGGAATTCTTTTACATTATTCTTAACTTTATACTTAATCACATGTTAATGGAATAATTTCTTAACATTTTAAATTAATTTAATCAAAAATACAAAATTTATCAATAAGTGAATAACATACATTTCTTGATGCATTTTATATTTAATTACATAAAATTGTATTTGATTATTATTAATTATAATAAGTACATTAATTATTCCATTAACATTTAAATTTAGTTTAAAATAAACAAGATTCAATAGTTAATGCTTTTTAACAACATTCAATATCATTAATATCACAATCTAATATATCTTAATTTTAACCATAACAATAATTAAAAAATTAACATTATTTAGAATTTGAATTATTAGGTATACATGCTAATTTATTTAATCCTCTTGGACATGTTAAATCTTATGATTCTAAATTTGCATAAATACAAGCATTATTTAATTGATCATATTTACATTCTATATCTCTTGTTTATTCACAAAATTCATATGTATTTATCATAATTATATCTCTACATTTACTATTTTTATAATCTTAAATATTTTCATTTTAACATTTATTATCATAATATCTACAATTTTAATCTTTTGTTTTTAATTATAAACATCCTACTTTATTTTCAATTTAAGAACAATTTAATGATTTTTATAATTCACTTGTTATTAATGAACATTTTTATTAAGAATTTCTATAACATCCTTCTAATAATACATTTTTACAATTTTCTATAGAAATAGCTTATTAACAATAATATAAATTATTTTCATCAAATTATTGACATTTATCAATAAATATACAATTTTGACTCTTACCACATGCTATACTATTATATCCAATATGGTATAAACTTCCAATTTAACATTTAATAATCTCACCATCAATTACTTCTACACAATTTTTAGTATTTATATCATATTTACAACCAATATCAGTAGTAACTTAACAAAAATTACCATGATTGATATTTTTTATTGTTTTACATGACTAATTTTAGTATGTAAACCAATCTTTTTCATAACAAATATTATTGATATATTAACAATATTATAATGGTGTTTATAGGTTTACACATGTGTAATAATTTAAATAGTCTTTACAATCTAAAGTAGAAAGCTGTGTTTAAGTGATTTCTTAACATCCATTATCCCAAACTGTTTTCATTTGATTTATGTCATACATTTAACAGGTGAGAATATTGAAGGATATTTTATTTTACCAAATTTGACTTCTAGAGGGTGTTTCAAATTAAGATGGATTAATGAATTATTCACACATCTTTGTATCAAGATTATAATAACATGGAATATCTGTAGCTTATGAACATGTAGATGGATTAGTTTAAAAAGATTTAAGACAAATATTTAGATCAGATTTTATTTAGATGCATCCTAATGTTTGATCAAATTAACAATTCTATTATCTATCTCTTAAATTTAGACATTTTTCTTTATTGATTTTATCTGTACATTTAGCCTACTAATAATAAGGAATGCATCTATTAATTTCGAATTTGCAATCTTAACCACTAGTGTAGAAAATACAACTCTTTTCATTTAATCCTGATATTGAACAATCTTAATTAGTACTAACTTATGAACAACCTCTTGTATTAATGTTATATTTGCAAGGAACATCATTAGTTTTAACACAAATATTTTCATTTACTATAGCTTATGATTATTCTAATTAAACACAATTATCAGTAGGTTATAGATAATCACAATTATAATTAACAAATTTACATTAAGAATCACTTTAGATACAAGCAACCCAATTTAATGTTTATGAACATTAAGATAAAGCTGTTTTACTTGCTAATTGACATTGATTATCTTTAAATTCACATTGTATTTTTATTGTTTTTTGTAAACAAGCATTTTTATTCATACCTCTTAATTAACAATCTGTTATACTAGGGTTTTATTCTGAGATATCTATACATTATCCTTTAGATTATAAGAATATTAAACTAGTTGTAGGTTTAGTTTAGAGATCTACTGTTCTACATATATAATCAGAGTAACTATAATCTACTTAATATAAAATTTAATCTATATTTGGATCAATAAATATTTCACATTTATTAATGAATTTACATGGTGCTTTTTAACTCAAACAAGCTTCTTTATTTAAATAGTCTTGACAATTTAGATTAGTTTCATTTGTAAATTAACAAATGTTATTTTAATATTTACATTTTCCAATAGTTAATCCAATACAAGTCTATTAATTGATACCAGAAGTATTACAATATACCAAATCAATTTTAGTTACTTCTTTGCATTTAAATTATTTATCAATTAAATAATTTTTAGATTCATTAATCAATGAACATGCTTATGCATTAAATTAAATAATTTAATTTTATTAAGCACTTAACTAAAAATTATTAAAATCTATTAAATCAATTAATTCAACACATTCTTAATTTTCAGACCATCCACATGGTATGAGTTATTAATTTAAACAAGCATATTTATTTAATCCTGAACATATATTAGGAGGTATTGTATCTTATTTTGTACATTGATTATTTAACCAAACACAATTTTCAGCCATAGATAAATTACATAATATTTATTGATCAAATACAAATTCACAATTTGCTTTATAAGGATTAAATTCAGTACATTATTTTAAATAAGGATCAAACCAACATTAATTTACTTATTTTTGATAACAAGCATCATAATTTAAGATAGAACAATCTACTTTATCTGTAATTTAAAATACTTCAATTTCTTTACATTAAATTTAATCCCATTGACATTTAATATTTCTTGAATTTTTCAAACAAGATATTTTATTTAAATATTAACATTAAAAGACTAATGAATCATCATTTAATGCCAAACATTATATTTTAATTGGATCATAATGAACTGGTTAATCTTTGCATGATTAACATGCTTTTAAAGAAACAATCTATCCTATCATATCATCACATGTAGTATGAGTTGCATCTTCACATTAATCTATGAATTTGCATGCTTAAGGTACACTTGCACAAGCTTATTATTTTTATTTAACATTCTTAATATCTAATAGATTAATTAGATGACAAAAAAAGTAACGATTATTAATATCATATTAAAGTGTTTGTTTTGTTTATTGACAAAATCCATAAGAAAAATCACAATTACACTTTTCACATAATGTTTAACTATAACTTTAATCGCATAAACAAGCACCATCCTTATCAAGTAAAGGATCAATTACACAATTACTTCCAGAAAATCTACATTCATCAGTTGCTCTTGAACATAATGAATTTTATACATCTTCTTTTTTTACTTTT